ATACCTAACGAATTATCCCAAGAATCAAAGCATTGTGTACATTCTCTGTTATAAATATCTTGTGATGCATCTGGAGTATGAATTTGCAGAATATGAGAACAAGACATACTCCGTTAAAAATTTCGTTACGAAGTTATAAAAATATACATTAAAAAAATAAAATTATATTTACTAAGGAGCTTTATAAAAAAAAAATAGTCTAAATCTTGTATAATATTAAATTCCTATTTAGACAGAATTTTTAAACTTTAAAACCTCGACTTCGACGACGTCCACGAGCTCTTTCGAATTTCCTTCCTTTACTTCTGACATAAGGTTTCTTATGCTATATAATTTAGTATTAACATCCAAAAATAAAATAAATGAAATAGACCTTATGAGGACCCATTCCAAAATGTTTAACTGCTTCTCTAGTATTCTTTTTTCCTCTTAACAAAATAACATTGTCACCTAAGGGTGCACGAATTGCCAGCTGATCTAAAGTTAAAACTTCGCCACCGCTTTTAAGAATACGGGCATGCGCAGATGCTGTGACTCGCAATGCAGCAATAGAAAATTTAGGAATTTCCAATATACGATTATCATCTGTTACTGTTCCAACAACTACCACAATTTTGGAATCTGTGCATTCAACATTCTTTAGAGCTTTAACAACCCTAGATATTGAAAGCGGTGGACGGTTTACACGAGATTGAAATAAACGCTTAAGTATCGTCCGGTTAAATGATGATCCTGTACGACCTTACAAAATCATAAATTTATTCTCTAATATATAGGAGTCACATACGTGCTAGAAACCTATACAGCTTGACTAGCAATTTAATATAAATATTCTCTGATTTAGGTGCCGTTCTACTCTTCTTCTTTATAGAACGGTTTACTTTATCAACTCCCTATTAAATCATGTTAGAAAAGAAAAGCCTATTTTATAATTTCTACATATAACCTACCATATTCTAATATCACTAACTATTAAGGATTTTAGGAAATTTTTTAGTATGCTGTTTCTTAGCTAATACGGTTTCGAAGACGATTATATTTTCAAACCCTGATTCTTTATAAACCCTAACCTTTGATTAGTTTAAGGTTTTTATATCTTAAAGTAGATAGAAGATAAATTTAAAACATTGGTTATTTAAAAATATTTTAAAAAATAAAGTATTTATTTATGTATTTTTTAGATAAATATATTATAAATAAAAAAATAGTAATTTATTAAAGAAACCCAATTGAATAAAGAAGCCCAATTGAAAATGGTTATTTGTTGTATTAGTTATTCAAGACATTAACTCGTATTTTAAATGTTTTAAATAAAAAAAGTCAAATCCTGATTAGAATTAACTCTTTTTTAATGGAGTAACATGTACATAAGTATTTAAATGGTTAAAATACTTACTAAATTTAGGAGCAGATTCTATCAAAAATAATAAAAAGAAATTTAATTAAAAATTCTAGATAAAATTTATTTTTTTAAATTATAAAAAATTATAATTAGTATTTAAGCTACAAAAAAATATTTTTTCTGCAAAACTAATCAATTGTGATTCTTTAAGTAGTTTTTTCAACTATTTAAAGAATAACAATACATAATAATTCATTTTCTAAACATGCAATGACACGATCTCTATGAACATATATTGGAAACGAAATCGTGCAATTAGATTCATCAATAATTCTCTTTTTATTCCGAAAAGTATTCTGCATTATCTTTTCTAAAATATTTTCTATTTTAAGTGATCTATATTCAGATTTTTTATGTATTTTTTGCTATTAATTCATTGAAATTAGATTTACTAACATTTTATCATTTAATATGTCTTTAAATTATAACTTTTTTCATCAATAATCTCAATTATTATTTCTTTTTTCAATTCAGACAATTCAATTTGGATAAAATATTCATAAACTCATGCATATCAATTTTTAGTGTTAAAATTTTGTAAATCAATTATTCTTTAAACTAAAGTATTGGTTTATCTAATATCTAGTCAATTGTTTTAAATATGCTTGGAAAAAAGAAGTTTTAGTAAATGCAAGGAAACATGACTTCAAGTTCAAATATAGATTAATAAAGATTGTTTATATCTTGATTAATAATGATTTTGAATTGAAATAACACATGTTCATCTATTATATTAAAATCTAAATGTTCAAAGGTTTTGAATATCTTTAAAATATATTTATAAAAAATATTATAATACTATCTTATAAAAAAATTAATATAGACGTCGTTTTTAAAGATGTTCTTTTAAAATAATGGATTTCCCAATTCATTTTTAATATATTTTAAATTTAAAATATCGGTATATTATTTGTAAAATTAGCTATAATAACTCATTTAAAATACATAATGTTTATCAAAACATTAGTTTTGAAATAATTCTCTGAATTTATGCTTAAAAAATAATTTTTAAAGAAAATTATATTTTAATCTTAACAAAAATTTTAATAAATTTAAAATAAATATTGTCAAAATAAAAAATGTTAGAGGATTTTAAACTATAATATAATTTCTAAATATTAAAATATACGAAAAAAATATTAAAAAATGTAGAAAAAAATGTAAAGTGTAAAGTTTTAAAAATTATACGTATTTAAAGGCTTCCAAAAAGTAAATTGAAAACTTAATTATATGAATTGGTTAATATACTAATTTTAAGGATTCAATAAATATTAAATAAAACAATTAAGAAATTTAATTTTTCTACAAAAACGTCATATATCATGATTATTTTTGATAATTTTATAAATATGTTTATGTTTTAATATTTTAAAAGCTTTATTTAAAATATAAATTTTAAAAGCTTTATAATTCTTTGTTTAAATGTTTATCAAAAATAAATATTAACACTAATAAAAACTAATTGCTGTTTCATTTTCCGAAAATTAAAGATCTATTAAATAATGATCAATTAAGTTTTTAATATATATATATAATTTTTATTGAAAATATAGACATGTAAATTTTTAATAATACATGAAGAAACAAAATATTAATATTTTTAAAAAATTATTTTAAAATTATTGCAAATATAAAATTAGTTTATAATATCTAAATTACTTAAATTATAAAAACAAGATATTGAAAAACATAAAATCTGTAGTACTAATAGCTATAAACATCTTTTTTACTGCAATATTCTAAATAATGTATTCTAATTAATCATAAATTTTATTTAATTAATAATAAAATTTATTTATGTTTAAATTATATCTTAACATATTTGTAATATTTCAAAAGAAAACCAATTGTTTAGTCTATATTTCTAGAATAATATTAAATTCTAAAAATAGTTTGTAAATAAATTGTTTTTTTTATTTAATATTAATTTCAAACTTCCTTTAAAAATAAATAAAACACAAAAGTATTTCTTATAATTAAATAATAATAACAAATCATTTTATTTGAATGAAATCAAAAACTTGTATAAATTGTCATTAACATATAAATGTGCATATTAAAATAATTAATGAAAAAATATCAAATATTTTAACAGTTTCCCTTTTTTAAGACTTTGAAATTTTTGCATATAAAACTTTAAAGAATAGTTAATTATCAAGATCTTAAATAATTTATGTTTTTAAATAAAAATTTCATATTTAAAAATCGAATATTTTTTAGTAATTTATTATTAGATAAATACAAATCTAAAGATTTTTAAAAATGGCTTTTAAAAAACCGATTATCTTCATGGAACATAATATCTTACAAACCTTTAAAATAGAATCTAACTTTAAAAAATATTAGAAAATAACACTAAAATATGTTAAGGAAACTAAAATATCATGAGAAAAAACTGCTTAAAAAGCATAATTTTTTAAACTATAAAAAAGATGACAATAATCACAGAGATGTAAATGTTATAAGACGGTATCATGTTCAAAAAAGAGAAGACTATTTTAAGTAAGCTTTAAGAGAGAAATAGATTTATAAAATATTTAAAGTTGGGAATTTAGATATAATGAACTTGTCGGGCTATTAAAAAAAATAGCATATAAGTTATCTTTACTTGATCCAACGGATTCTTTTGGAGATCTTTATAGAAAAATGCTGCTGGAAAAGCTTTTTGATATGGGCCTTTTAACTAGTACATCAAAACTTTCTGATATAGAAAATAAACTTACAGTATCTGCATTTTGTCGTAGAAGACTACCTATTGTCATGTGCAGACTAAAAATGTGTGAGACTGTTTCTACTGCAGTTAAATATGTTGAACATGGTCATGTCCGTGTAGGTCCAGAGGTATTTTTTTTTTAAAGTTAGAAAAAGGTTGATACATTATAAGGTTATCACTGATCCTGCATTTTTTGTCACTAGGAACATGGAAGATTTTGTGACTTGGGTAGATTCAAGTAAAATCAAAAGGAATATTGCAAAATACAATGATAAAGTATATATATTATTACTTGTTTTAGAAAATATTAACAAATTAAGCTTGATGATTTCGATTTACTTCAAATATAAATCATACTTTGGTTTAGGTGTATACTATTTAATCAACACGTTTTATATTAACTAATTTCTTTACGCTAACTCTTTCGATTTACGTTACTCTAATAAATATAACATTGAAACCCTTTAAATAGAGAATCTTGATTTATAATGTTATTTATCTAATATTATACTTTTGCTTCAACTATTAAAATAATTCAGAATATTATGTCTACAGTTTTAATAAGGCTTATTTTTTTTCTATTATAATTTAGTTTAAATCAACAAACCTGGTTTTTCTCTTCAATTTCATAATTGATTATTTAATATATTTTATATGCTAAAAAACAAATTTATTATTTATGAATATTATAAGATACTTCATAATAAAGATATTGCCCCCCCTTCTATATTCAATCATCTATTTTGAATGATATACATGATAAAATGAAAAAGATTCACAATATTAAATTGTTTATATTAAGAATTATAAATTATAGAATTGATTTATATGTTATGCAGAAAACAAAAATTATTTTTTAAAACGCCCAGTTAAAAACCATTCTATTTATACGATATCATTGTTATAGGCCATTGCTAAATGTACAAATTCCTCTCTTTCATTTGATTCAAGTCGTTCCCATATTTCTTCAAAAGATGCATTTTCTATATTATAAAATAAATCAGATTCCCCATAAATACAATTATTATTCAATTTACCTATATCTATATTTTTCATTCTGTCTTTTAAAGTGCTTTTTTTCTCTTTTTTTGGCAATTTTTTATTATCTAAAAATTTAAGATTTTCAAAATCATCGTTATATGAATATTTAGAAAGAAAATGTAGCAATTCAGTTTTTTCTTTTTCCGTTATTTTCCTATTTCTTATTTCTTGCTCTACATTATCCTTATAAAAAAATTCAGAACACTTTAAATGTATCTATCATATAAAAATTATAAGTTTATAAACCTTATAAATGAAAAACCTGACTTCGATAACAGATCAAAGAGCAATATCGCTGATTGCAACGTGGACATATATATTTTCCATGTTGATTATTACAAAATTGACATAAAATTTTTCCGTTATCCATTTTATTTGATGTTTTTAAATAAATAAGTTAAAAAAATGATGAAACATGTCAAAAACCAATGTATAATAAAATTTTTAATATATAGTTTAGGAAAAAAATCGCAAGTTTTTCTTTTTTTAGTATATTTAATAAACCAAAATTGAATTTATTTATGTGATGTCTTTATTAAAAAGATCAAATATTAAATCTAAATTTATATTAAATATATTTTTTTAAAAATTAAAATTAACTCGAACTTTAACATTTGATTTTAAAAAGATCAAATATATTTCAAAGTTCCATAACACATAAAAATTAAATAAAATTAGATAAAATAAAATAAAATTAAATAAATATATTTTAAAAACATAGACCATATATAAATCGTAATATTACAGAAATAAATACATTCATCCTAATAATTAGCTATAAAATCTATTCTTCTTAATAAAATCTATTTATCATAATAGAAATACAACTTGAATAATAACTATTTCTAGATTCTAAAATAAATTAAATAGAAATTATAAGTTTATTAATTTTTTAATATTTTTTACCGTTAACTAGAAATTTAATTTTTGGAAGGTATTTATTAGATTAAAATGAGAATAACTTTGCAAAAATTATACATAATATTAAGCTTTTTTTCATATGTTTTTTCAACACAAGATATTATTCAAGACTTTTTAAAAAAAGCAGAGTCAAATAATGGAATAATTCATTTAGATAGTACAAACATTTATTCTATTACTACAAAACCAAGGAACTATTCTATTGTTGTTATGTTTACAACAAATAGCGAGGAATATGATTGTTATATATGCAAGTAATTATTTTTTATTATTTTTGAATTGTTATGTTGATTTTATTTGTAGAAAACTTTATTCGAATTTTAAACTTATTGCAAAGTCAAGACAGAAAACACATCCTAAATCCGAAACATTATTTTTTGGAGTTCTCGAGTATTTAGAAAATGTAGACATATTTTCGCAAGTAATATCATCTGTAATTATATTTTTATATTAAATTGTTATGTAGTTGCAATTAACTAAGATTCCTATGATCATAATATATCCGGCAACTGTAGGGCCTACTGCATCAAGAAATAGTAAGCCTTTTGTGCTGACTCTCAAAAATGAGTATTTTAACTAATTATTGTATATGTTTATTATTTATTAAATTTAGAAGAATTTCTCCTGAATTACTAGTTCACACTATTTCACAAAAGATCAATGAGCCAATACATATTGTTCAGTTTTTAAATTATGGGAAAATAATTTTTTATATTTTTATTGCATTTTTGTTTCTACTTTTTTTTAAGTTAACACATTCTTTTATATTTTATGTTATGAATAGGAAAGAAATATGGTTAATTTTCAGTTTGGTCAGATTGATCACTTTTTTTTTAAACATATTAATAACTTCTATAGGCTTGTATTTTAATTTTTAATTCTGGGTATATGCTTGTTAAAATTAGAAAACCACCGTTTAGTGGTCAAGACAATAATTCTCCTGATTATATTTTAAAAGAATCTCATTCACAATATGGTGTAGAATCCCATATTATTGTTATAACAAGTCGGATTTTTTTTTATTTGGTTTATTTATTAATTTTCAAATAGATCTGATATTAATGTTTACTGTAATATTGTTAACAGTTTTTGCGCCCAAAATTGCCAATAAAGGAAAACAAACAACTTTAATTATTTTATCGATCATATTCCAATTGATTATTTTTAGTTTTTTAATACATATTTTTCGATTGAAAAATAGAAGCTATCCATTTAAATTACTGGTTGATAATATTCCATTTTATTAAAAATTCAATATTAATCAAAATTTAGTTATTATGATTCTTTTTAATTATGATTTTTTGTTTTTATATAAACCTATAGAGAAATATATCTCTATACTAATATTATTTATTTATAAATAATTATAAATACATAGATTATTTATTTATTATAATCATTAGTGATTGAATATTATATATATCTCTTCGTATGCTCCATAATGCTAAGCTGTTTAGATAGATAACATATTTTCATGTATTTACTGCAATATTTAATGTTTAAATGTTTGAATTTTAAGTTGCAAAATGATTACACTCCAGCAAGTAGCTCATCTAAAACTAATGCTAATTCAAATCTTTTTTTACACCTCGGATTTTCTTTTATTACATTTAATATAGTTTCTTCTACTTTATTATCTTGATATGTTGCATTATTTGTTAATGTTGTAGCCCATATTCTAGTAATAGGAGGAGGAATTTCAACTAAGGAAAAAGGTGCCAATTGGAAAGCTAATCCAAGTTCTTGTACAGTTAATGATGAATATTTTTTTGTTTCTTGTTTCCTCTTAGGCTTATTTGGATTGAATAAAATAAAATTATTTAAGTTTTCTGTATGGGTAGATCTCCTAAAGTTTTGAAATCTAACTTTTGCAATGACAATAGCCAAAACATTTTTTAGATGATACTATGATAATAAGTCTTAACTTTTATAAATAAATAGGTATACTTCAAGTCCAGCAAGAATAATTTCAGGAACGCCTTCTTTTAAGCCCCCAATTAGTCCGCTTTCTAGAGCAATTGCTAAACTCCTTTCACGCAAACCATCAATATCAGGTATTTCCATGGAATCGCAGCTTAAAGGAACATGATAACCTCTTTGAACATCACCTGCATAATGTGCTGTATTGGATTAATTTTTATATCTAAATATTTATTAAGGTTTTGCCTGTAAATATTTTATCTTTACAAAGTGGAATTTTAGGAAGTTTCGCTATCCTACTCTCAAATAACGTATTAGATGGGATTAACGACTTTCCCATATAATCCTAAAAAATATTAAAATGTATTACATTTCCTCAATTGCATTTTCACTTTTTTAATAGATTTAATTCGCAATCTGTCGCGATAATGAAGGCTCATTATTTCACTTTTAAGTTCTTTTCTTTGATCATTAACTCTTATCCGTTGATATTCTTTTCTTTTCTTAGTCCATCCAAAAATACATGATTTTTCAGGAGGATCACACATAGCATTGGTATAAATCGCAAGTAATATTTCATTATGAAGATGAACTATTATATATATTAGAACATTTTTCATTAAACTACAAGTACTCAACAGTATTTTTTTTCAAGAACCGAATTGATTTGTTGATCAAATTCTTCTCTATTCATTTTTCCACTGATAAAATCGGCCACTACTATTTGATATTGCGTCCACTTAGTTTTTAATGCTATTTGCAATTTTTTCAACAGTGGATCTATGTCAATCCGTGACATTTTTTGACTTTTATATAGTATATTTAATGGTAATTATGGAAATAAACTTGAGTTTGTATCATTTAATAAACTTATATGTGATTAACAAATAAAGAGGAATAATTTTTGTTAAATCTAAAAAGACTTTTTATGCTGTATTATAATTTTTAACATTCGATAATAAGAATATAATTTTAGACATTAATATTTAAAAAATATAAATTATGGCTGTTAAAATAGAATACATATTAAATTGTCTCCAAATTTGTATACAAAAAATGAATTTATATATTTAACACATTAATTTATGATGTTTATTAAATAATAATTTTGTTTAAAAAAAAATAAAATTATGAAAATTAATTATATAAAGATTAGAAAAACTTTATGTTTTTATATAGGTATTTTTTCTAAGAAATATTATTCATAAAAAAATTATTATTTTAAATTTCATGACAAATTGTATCTAGTTTTACTTTTTTCCTTTTCATTTGGATATAAATAAATTTGCATTTAAAACCTAACTTAAACACTAATAATTGTTAAAGAGTACGTTTGTATAAATAGTTTATTATTTATAATTTTTTATAGTACAATATATTATGAAAATATAATTTTTTATAATTTTTAAACATTTCATTTTTTTTATAAACAAAACATTTTAATACAATTATATATATTCTATTTTAAAAGAATGGTTTTCTTAAATATTTAAAAAATTTTTAGTTAAACAATTTATAAAATTATCTATACTAATTCTAATAAATTATAGTAGATTTTCAAGATATTTTAAATAATTTAATATCATTTTATTATTTCTAAAATTGCTAAAGAATTAATATCATCCGTTATAATATTTAAAAAAATGTTATTTCTTGAGATACATTCTATATAATTAGTTTTCTTTTCAAAAAATCAAATTTATTACATGCTGACGTAAAACAACTCCAGACTGAGAAAATAATTTTGATGTTTGATTATCCATTGAATAAGAATAATTAAATATCACCTCACGAACCTTAAAGCAGTTAAAATAATAATAGATTTAATAAGAAAAATACTCCCAGTTGCATTATTTTAATCGAACATGTTAAACATGGGCAACTTTTAGAAATTAGAAATTGTCTATTAAATTAAAAGACATAATACGTATTGCAATAAAGCACAGAATCATTGGCAATTCTTTCTTTTCCTGCTTCTAATAATGCATTTTCTTCCGCATGAAGACACAAGCATGTTTCAAGATCTTGTCCAGATCCTCCATCTTCATTACACCTTTTGCATCCTCCCTGATTACAATTGACGAATCCCCTAGGTGTTCCATTATATCCTGTACTTATAACTCGTTTATTTCGGACAAGAACACAGCCAACTCTCCTCTTCATACAATTGCTTCTAAGTGCTGCTAAAGATGCTAAATACATGAAATACGAATCCCAAGAAGGACGAAATCGATTTTCATTAATTAAATCAATGCGATGAAGAACTTCATAAAATTCGGGTATGGAATCATAATTATTTATAATTTTTATTTGTGCCTTATTAAATAAATGAGCTATTCCATGATCTGAATTGAAAAAAAAATCATCCGACTGCTGAATGAATTGTTCTAAAGTAAGCAATTGTGAATTCCGGTATTTATGGCTTAATATTAATTAAATATAGATTTAATTCTTTATAACAAAACATACCATTTCTTATAACGGTTCCATCTGAGCATTATTGGAGAGCTTACACTTATAAATAAGAAAAAAGGCCTTTTAGTAAATATATTTAATACTTCTTCATTAAAAATATCTATAGTTACAAATCTTTCTCTCCAATGACGAGTCACATAATTAAGCATTTGAATTGCATTCTCGAATGTCTTCCCTTCTTTACATAAGTACTTGGAGTTATTAGATAAAGTACTAAAACTATTTAATTTGAAGCTATCATCATTTGTATTTTGTAATCTTAAAATAGAAAAATTCATTTTTTCTACTAAATAATTAGCAATAGTCTGTTTTCCTAAAATAATTATAAAATCCTAATAATTTTCATATTTACCAGAACAAATATCACCACATATCCCTATAAATGGCATTGATTTTTTTAATAATAGAAAATAAGAAAATATAAAATCGAATTTATTAAAATGAATAAAAATTATTTAATTATATCATTGTTTAAATTACAAAAGAAATATTTATATAGCTTTTAAGGCAAATTTATAAAAAAACTAAAATGTTTAAGAAATTTTTTCTGCAACATTTTTCAATATTTCTTCTATGGTAAATTTAGAATTTCGTATATTTTTTGAAACTGTAGGCCAAACCACCCCATGTGATGGCTCTGCGGCTACGCATTCCGAAATAAGAGATTGCTGTGCTTCTACAGGTTCATGCTGTAATGCAAATTTGTAGTACCATGCCCATGTGTCACCAATATCAGGATTAGATTTAATAGCTCTTTGAAACCATATTTTAGCTTTAGCTATCTTTCGTTCATTCCACATCATTCTTGCTACAGTAGTAAGTATATAAGGATCATCTTCACATTTTCTTAAGGCATCTGCACATCTAGTTTTTCTTTGAGATCTAGATTCTATCCATATTGCTTCTGACCATACGAGTCCGCTTGTTGGACACTCTTGAAGAGCTTTAGCAATATTGGATTTTGCTTGATTTATATTATTTGTTCTCAGTTCTAATTTTATAGATTCAACCCAAAGTTCAGGCGTTTGAGGACACAAAAATCGAGCACGATCCAGTATACCTCGTGCAATAACAATTCTTCCTGTATTTTCTTCCAATCTCGAGAGAAGAATCCATAAAGGAACAGATTTTGGAACAGATTTTGTTCCCGTTTGATATGTTTCTCTAGCTTTTGTAACTTCACCCAAATCTTCATATATTTGTCCTTTCATCATCCAAAATTTACTACAATTTGGAAATAATGTTAATGCTTCATTTACAAGAGAAAGAGCGACATCCATATTTTTAAATTGACGTTCAAATGTAATTGACTTTACCCAAACACGTTCTGTGTTAGCCTCTTGTCTTGCAACTCTTAACAATGCTCTAGCCCTATCATTTTCATCGTTATTATATTCTAGTTTTACGGCTGCTAGCCAGATTTCTTCAGAATTAGGATTATGCAAAAACGATCTTTCAAGAATGTCACGAGCTCCTTGTATATCGCCCAAATTCTTTTTTTCTTTTGCATATATTAACCAAATCACTTCTGCTTGCGGGCATTCTTCTAAAGCTTTTTCCAAAATAGCTTGTACTGATTCGACACTTCCATGCGATTTTTCAAGTGAAATAGCCTTTCTCCATATCGATTCATTTTTCGGGAATACTTTTAATGCATATGCGTATATTGCACGCGCGCATTCAAAACATTCATGAGAAAGTGCATTTTGTGCATCATTAATCCATGTTGATTCTTTACTCTCCTCATCTAAGTCTTGATCCAAAATTGCTTTAATAATAGCCTGTGCAGTCTTAATACCACCATCTTTTTCAGATTTTTCTGCTTCTGCTAGCCATTGTTCTCTTGTTAACATTCCGCCATTTTGTTTAAGGCGACGACATGCATTTGCTATAACTTTATCAGGATCATTTCCCTGTTGTTCTTCTAAACGAGCAGCAGCAATCCAAATTTCATAGCTAGTTTTAATAGTATTTTGCGCTTTATTTAAAATCTTCTTGGCATTTTGATATGTTTCTAAACGTGCAAGAGCAAGCCATAATTCAGTCGATAAAGGAATAAGTTCAGTGGCTCTTGCAAGTAAAATTTTAGCATTTCCAGGATCTTCTTCCAAATTTACTGCCTCTTTCCAAAGCTTAACGGAATATGGTATAATATCAATAGCTATAAAAAGAATTAATAAATACTCCAATAAATAAGAAAATATGACCCTTTCGGGTAACTCTTTTTTTTGACTCAATATCTGTTTCTAAATTTATCGCTTGGAGCCATAGTCTTACAGAATTTGGAATATGTCGCACCGCTTCTGCTATAATTATTTTTCCTGTCTGAACATTCTAATAATAGTAAATAATTTTCAAGTAATAAATATGATATACATTAAGACCAACAGCTTCAATCCAAATATCTTCATTTGTAGGGCAATTTTCGCAACCTTTAGCAATAATATTTCTTGCCTGTTGTAATTTCCCAGCTACAATTTCTACACGAGCAGCAGACATCCATCCTAGGATATTAATATAAAAATGAATACAAAATTATTAATTACCTGCAGCAGAATTTGGATTTGTCTTTATCAGAGATTGCATTAAAGAACGTGCTCGCTTGATGTCTCTAAAATATTAAGTAGTTTCTAAAAATAAAATATATTAATACCCCAATTCGGCATTGCTTTTTAAAGCCATAGAATTCATTGATGTTAAATATCCCTGTGGATCTACAGTAGATTGCCCGGTAACAGAATCAGATGATATCTTATAGTAAATGTTAATAAAAAATATATATATGTATAATTACCTGGTCTAATTTCAATCCAAGAACTTTGTCTCTTGCAGCGCCAATTTCTGCAAAATTAGTCATTTTCCCATCATTAAAATCTGCATCTGTTTCTGTAACATCAATACTAGTATCTAATTGTTCTATCTGGCTGGCGCGAGAGATAAGAGAATCAGGAATTGTATAAAATCTTTCTCGCGGATTAATTTTTTTTCTTTTTTTCCCAGTTAAATCACCAACATTAGGGATATTTAGCCATTCATCATCTGTTATTGTACTTAATCCTTGTATAACGTCTGCAAATTGATCTTGAACTTTTGGCCTTTCCATAAGACGTTCTGCTTCCTCGCGCTCTCTAGCTTCCCTTTATATATTATGAATTTAAATAAATAAATACTTTTGGAGTTTTACCTACGAGATTTCCTTCTTTGTGCCATTTTTTGGTCTACTTCACTCCATATACGATCTGCTTCTTCATCGTCCGCATCATAGGGAGCACCGGCAAAGAGACAATATTCATTTTCCGGATCCTGGTATTGATCATCATCTTCATCATCCTTTACATCACTAGAATCTTGAAAACTAGAAAATCTGAACGGATCTTGAGCTGCTGCTCGTCTTGCTAAAGCTGCTCTGTGAAAATGTAAACAAATTGTATTAAATAAAACAACAGTTACTAATAAAATACTTAAGAAAACTTACTTGATTGCATCCTCTGAAGGTCCTTCACGAGCAGGTCCAAGATCAGATCTCGTAGTAAATCCTGTTGCACCTCTTCCAAGACCAGCAACATAATTCTCTGGTGCTTGTGCAGTAAGGAAATCTCTACGAATAGACATATTCTTTTGTAATAAAAAAATGTATTTTTTTAGAAATTCTATCTAAATTTATATATTTCATTCAAAATTCATTTTTTAAAAAAATAATTTTTTAAATTTAGTTGTTTTTTTTCAATATTGATTTTTAAATTAAGTTTCTAAAAATTTAATTTTTTGTTTTATATTAATTCACATATTATTCAAATCATATTTTTATTATTCTCTTCTAAATAATTACTGATTCTCTTTGTAAGAATTTCTAGACTACTTTATTACCTATCTATAAAAGAGATTTGCATGTTCTAAAAAAATAATAAAATAATACAATGCTTTATATATTATGATTTTTTCTTTTTTTCAGAAAAATATGCAAATATCCAAAAAAGTTATTTAAATTATGAAATAGGTTTTAACATGTCAAGTAAATTTCATTTAAAGAAATTAATAGATACAGTTAAAAAATACAATAATAATAATATATAATGAAAAGTATTAATATATATATATATATATGCTATATTTAAAGATTTAATTTCAAAAAATAATAATCTTGAAAATATTTCAGAATATCTTTATAAATCTAGGTTTTATTTCAATTATATTTTTTTATATATACCAATTTTGAATTAATATGTCATAATAATAATGAAATGATGTTCATTTTACAAAAAAATATTATTTATAATAATAGTTACTTTTTTGTGGTTATAGATAAATTAATTTAAAAATAAACTTTAATCAAGAGAAAACAAAATTATTTTCATTACATTTAAGAGTATAAAAATTAAATTAAATTCAACAAAAATCATTTCATATAAAATGAAAATAAAAAAAATGGTTTCCTCTCTTTGGAAGCAGTGTCATCCTTGTGCAGGGGCCATGCTAATCTTCTCTGTATCGTTTCAACTATTTAATAATCAGCATTTTCGAACCATCGACTTACGGGAAAATCTTACATTGACCAGATGGACCGCAAGGGTCCGTTCCTTCTCCTAAAAAAATAATATATAAATTAAAATTATTTTTTTTAAATAAGTTGTAAAATAAAATCTATAATATTAAATAAAAGAAATATTTATAGAATATATAAAAAGAGTTTTTTATATAAATATTAGAAAACATTACTTTTTTATATAATTATTATAATCTAAGTTAATATGTTTAAATATATATTTACTACTTTAAATGGATTATTAATTAAATATTTCATAATATTTTTTATTTAAAATTTTACTATAATTTTATAATAATATATTTACTAATTGATTCAAAAATTAATCTAAATCCAATTTATATGTTTTAGTTAAAAATAATATAAAATATTTCATGGTCGTCTAATTTTATTTATTATCAATTATAAATCTTCATATTTCTTTAATGTAATATAAATTTATTATCCATATAAATATATACATATTTTATAAAATACCATTTTACACTCTTTATAAATAATATAAAAATGTATTAATTATTAATAGAAATAATTAAGCAAAATGAATTCCTTCTTTATTAAATGCATACAATAACCTGAGATTAGTTTAAAAAAAAAAAAAAACATAAAAAATACCTACTTTAAAAAATCACTTTCATGACATTTTCGAGCTCGTTTATTAGTAAAATCTATAGAATCTAATACCTTTTCGATTTTATCTTTTATAGAAATATTATTCATCGTTATATTATTTTGAGAACACCAAATCTTATAATTTTTCTCACACATATTAAGTACAGAAGATGTTTTAAACCCGGATGATATAGTCTAATAATCTAGAAAGTTCATTATTAAAAAAATTAGATACCTTATTTTTTCGAATAAAACATATTCGAAGGAGACTTAAAACATTAGCTAATATGAATGATTTATATTGCTACAGACCTGTCCCATTCCTCAAAATTAATTGGAGGAGGTGGAACTTTAGGCTCTATCTTGACAACACTGCTTTCTACTTGAGGAGGTGGTTTAAAGTTATTTCTTCCCACTTTCATTACATGCGTAACTTTGGCCCACATCTGCACATTAACACTCAAACGACAGTAGAAAGAATCGCCTGGCTTAGCAAGGAGCCTCATCGCAAATTCTCGTTGAAACATTAGTATAGCTAATCGAGGTGGAGGATTTTGCCTAAGTAGTTTAAAAACAAGAGGACTAGAAATCTATACAATATTAATGATACCAGCAACAATAATAGAATCTACTTGATATGGTGTATTAGATATACAAACATCAAAATATGGAAGATCAATTTTAATAACATCTCCTAGAAGAATTTCCAAACGCTTTTGTTCAGATCTTCAAAAAAATATCAATAAAGATAATAAAATGATAAATTATACATTGTCTGTACACGTTTAATAAGTTCCATACTCATACGTGGGTCCATTTCAACGGCTATAACCTTTTTTGCTTTTTGTAGAATCCTAATAGTAAGATTTCCGGTTCCAGACCCTACTTCAAGTACAATATCAGAAGGCTTTAGATCTGCCTATATTACTTAATCTTTAGATTATATATTAATATAAATAATAACCTTATCAACGATTCCTTGTATAACTAAAGGGTTCTTTTAATATTAGAGTTTATTAAGAAGGAAAAAATTATGTAAATATTTACCTTTAAAATATGCTGACCAATATCTTTATTAAGTTTAAAAATATTATTAGATACTGCTCTTCGTATGATATTATTTTTTTCTTTATATTTCCCCATATTTAAAGATGTGACAATTTAAAAAAGAGTATCGTGTATACAATTGTATGAATATTTTGAAATATTGAATTTTTAGCCTTAAAATAAAATTTATAATTTTTATATTTTTTATAGAATCGATTTCGAAATACTGATATTAAATTTGTTAAATTATTTTTTTTTTTAAAAAAATATATCAAGAAGTTAACGTTTTCATAAAGGATTTGCGGAAATTTTGAAATTATTTTTTTGATTCAAATATACATTTATCTTTTTACACAAACATCTAAAATATAATTATTAGTATAATTAGTTAAATATTTTAAATTTTATATAGTTTACTCTGAAAAAACATTTCTCATAACCTCATAATTTAAAATTTTATGCTTTTAGAAATTCTTCCATCATAGCTTAAATATTTTACACAAGAAATTTATATTATTAAAATTAATTATTTTACTTTTAATAATGAAAAATTATCAAAGTTCCTACTTGTTTAAAGTGCATATTAATGTTTTAATATTATATTTCTAACTCTTAGTTAACAAGTTCTTGGAATATTAAGATTTTTTGCAAAATTTTATCCTAAATGTTATGGTAAATAAATAACAGTTACTTTTTTATTCGTCTCTTAAACATACATTTTCTAAATCTTTAACAGTTAATATAAATGTTTTTGATGTTCTCAAATGTATCAAAATTTCAATAAATAATCTCATTATTTTATCTGCTTCTAAAGATTTTATTAATAATTGTAACCGCCTTAAAATAATCTAAATTATTGAAATAAAAACAATAATGTATAAAGTAGTCTGCAAATATGCGAAATCATATTTATAAGTTAAAAATTCAATGAATTATTCTCTAAACATAAGCTTAAATCAAATTCTTAAAAGATTTTGGATCTAGAGTATATCGTTCTTTACAATTATTAATTATCGATATTTTTATTAATACGCGATTAAACTACATTGAAGATTTTTTTTCAAAACTTTTTAAAGCAGTATTTTTACTATTGAATAAAAAATAAATAAAATGTTTGTTCTTGATATTCAGTCTTTTACGTATTTTTGAACATTAGCTCTAAGTTTTAAATAAGTATTATAAAATATTTATGCCATTTTTCATATCATGCAATATGTCTTTTTAGAAAGCATTCTTAAAAGTGCAAAATCATTTTTAAATATATATGAACTATATTAAAAAAAAGTTTGAGTATGCAAGTAAATAAATTTTAAATACATTTTTGTAAATATTAGTATAAAAGACAGACAATTTAAAATAATTCTTATGTGGTAAAATATTTAAGAAAATATAAATAAGCAAGAAAATTTAGATGCCTAAAACCTGTTCAAAAAACTTTAAAAAGAAAAATCTTCTAAGAATTAAAAATTTTTTTAAATAGTTTAATGACACGTATAAACGCGATAATATTTAGTAAAAATATTACGAATAAATTTATTTAAAATATAATATATAAAATAATGAGCCCCTTTATAATAAAATAGGGGAAAAAGTTAAATAAAATAATTCCAAAAAATATATTTAAGATATTATAAATTTACCAAATTTATAATTTCTTTTAGGAGTATAGAAAAAAAGATGATAAAAAAAAAGATAAAATTAATTAATTAATAATTTTTATTTAATATAAATATTTTAGATGTATATGAAATAATGTTAAACAAAATTGTTTTTAAGAAATTTTACATCTTATTCTATATAAAACTTTAAATAAATTTATGATATTTATTTATTTATTTATTTATTTATTATTTATATGTCAATTTCTATATTCTATAAATTTTTAAAACCGGAATATTTTAAAGTTCATGGACATTTGGATGTCAAAAAGATATCCTTTATAAAAATAGCAAGTTTTATTATTTTTATATAATTTGATAGATGGGAATATCATTGTTTATCATTTTTGCTGTTATAGCACGTGTTTTCTTTAAAAATACGCATGCTTTAGGTACTTTTCTTTTTCTCCTTTTTTTTTAATTTCTTTTAGAATTTACTTATGGCTCCACTTTAAAAGATGAATTACAGCATGACCATGATAAATTTGAATCTGGCTCATATTATCAACCAATGGATTTGGCATCTGAACTAAAAGAAAGTGTCCACATTGTAATTAAAAGATATCAAAATGAACTATGGAATGTACAAAATCCAGACGAGGAAAATATTGTGAAGCGAGCGTTTTTAGCTGGACTTAAACCGGACTTTACTAAGAAAGATTGCGTAGACTTAGCGGCAGAGGTTTGCTCTTTTGCTAAAGAAAACATGAATGAACGCGATTCACGCTCTTTATGTATCAAAAGCATTTCATGTGATAGTATATCGAAGTATTTAAAGGAAATGTGTGAATCAGCAAAAACTCATATGGATTCAATTTCTACTTTTACTAAAGAAATTTGTGAAAAAGAAAATCAAGAATGCAATAATTTAAAAGAGCATTGCAAAGACATTTTAGCAGAATCGTGTAAAAAAGTGCAAGGGAAGTGTTTAGACTTAGGTCTACTTACTCCTATGGAACTACCTTCTGAAGCGGATTTTACTAAAACTCATACTCTACTTACTATATCGACAGTAACAGTAACAGAAATGGCACAAGATATATATACTCATATAAAAATATTAATAAAAACAAAAACATGTTGTTTAGGTAGGCCTACAAAAACAACATTAGAAGAATCAACACTTGAGCCAGCGACTACTGAAAAACCAGCACCTACTGAAGAACCAGGGCCTACTGAAAAACCAGCACCTACTGAAGAACCAGGACCTACTGAAGAACCAGGTCATACGCATGAGGAAACGGATACTGAAGATCAATGTTTAATTACAGAAACAGTGACAGTGACAGCTGTGCCTGAAAAAACCCTCGAACCAGCCGAAAAAGGTCACGGTGTTCGTGTAGAAGGATTTCATAAGGCAATGTTAATTTGTGCAATTATAGGAGTGACATTAGGAGTATGGATAATTGTTTGAAATCTGAAAATCTTTTGTAATAATAAGTATGTAAAAGTATTAAATAAAGATATGTTTGTTTTTCTCCTGTTAAATATAATTAATATACATTTGCAAATAAATTTGGTTTGTAAGATAGAATATTTTCAAAGATATCCAAAAAATGAGCTTTGCTAAAAAATAAGACATGTTTAAATCAAATTGTGTTTACGAGTTACGGCTGAAAATCTGATTAATAGTATATTATGGTTGAACGATTCATATTTTGTATTAGTTAAAAATTATAAACAGTCGATTGATAAAAATAAAAAAAAACATTTAATTTAAAGAAAACTTTAAATTTCTTTAAGTATTCATTTTAAAATATTTTCATTTAAATATTTATTTTTTAATAATTATATTTGTCATTATTTTCCAACTTTAAAATAACTTTAATTTTTGAATGCAAAAAGAATATATTTATTGTTATTAATGTAAAAAGGTGTTTTATATTTGCAGTATTTATTAAGAATAATATATAATGTCTTAAGATGTAATAAAATTTTTATTCTATATCTTTTAAAGATCTATTTATAGTATATAAATATTTAGAAAAGTAGTAAAAAAAATATATATTAACCAATATTAAAAATGTATTTTGATATTGAAAAAAGTAATCAGATAAAAATTAAAATAAACAAAAGATATAGCAGACAATGAATATTATAGAAAATATAATAGATTTTATAAAAAATGCTATTAAAAATAAATTATATTTATTACGAGTTTTAATTGATTATTAATAAAAAATCTTTGGACGCTTCAATTATTCATATATTTAACTTTGTTTTTATAAACATTTCCGAAAAATCTTTAGAATCTATTAAGTATTATTTAGTTATAAATATTTCGTTTTCTTTTTCAAAAAAAAAGAGAATAAGTCTTCTTTGAATATTTATTTTTCCTACTTTGTAATACGATGAAAAAACTCTAATAAATTTCATTATTTAGATAAGGATGCAAATGAACTAAATTCTAATTATAATTCTTCACATATAGAAAATGTTAAAGATAATATTGAAAAAATTGCCTTAAATCACTCTATTTATAAGAATTATTGAACTTTCAAATGCTCTAAGACAACATTGATTGTCAATTCTTTTGTATATATGGTGGAAGCATTTTTAGCTATTCATGTAGGAAATAGAGATGGTCCTGTACGCTTTTATAAGTTTTCTGATTTATAAGAAATCTTATATTACTTATCTGGAAAATTTTCTGAGATTAGAAGATTTTTACAAATATTTGCTTTTTACAGGCGCAGAATAAATATTAATATATTTATATTTATTATCACTTTTAATATATTTAATATTCTGAAGAAAATTAATTTAAGGCATTTCTCTTAAAATATAATGATAATATAGTTTATTCAAAGTTATAGACATTATAACCTATTTTTATGGAGATTATCCAAAATATCCTTATGAATTTAATAGATTGGCTAACTTTTTTATTAAACTTTTATTTTGTAGAAGATTACAATGTAAATCGCATATTGTTAATCCATTTCTTAAATAATTATATGAATAAAATGAATGAAATATAGAATTTGAAAGGGTTGTTTTTAATAATAAATGGAATAAATGTTAACTTTTATAAATACATTAAAGGTAGGTCATCTTTGATGGTTGGCATGGTAACTATCAACACTTGACTAGAGTTTAAAAAATATATATAGCGTCAAAAAAGTACTTAGAATTTTTTTAATAAATAATTGTATTTCTCATAATATAAACAAGAAAATATGGAGAAGGGGTGGAAATAGTTTTTATTTATATATTTTTGGTAAATATGTTTATAGAATCATTTGATACCCCAAGCGTAGATTGTAAAGACATTTAGTCAAAATTCTAAATAAAGGTTCTCAAGAAGCTATAGAAGCTACTAATACATTAAAAAGTATATCTAGACTAAGATAAAGATTTTTATTTATACATTATTTATAATATTAGGCTCATTATTAGTATAAAAATGATGAGCCTTGTATATTAGTATTGAAATTTGTTACCACAAGTTTACATCTCCAATATAATTCAGTTTCTATTCATTATTTAAATTATATTAATTTAAATTAATAACTTTTTTATATAAATTATACAAAAAAACCTTTATCAAAGAATTTTAGACTAACATAAATTTTTAAAGTATATTTTTAATATTTTTAACTTTTGAAAGATTTATTCTATATAAAATAATTACTTTTAGAATATTTATAATATAAAAAAGGTTTAGATAATTTATTAAAATAGCGATGAATGGTAATATATATAATATACTATCTCTTTTTTATAATTGATTTATTATTAATTTATGAAAATTTGATTTTATAATTAATTAAATTAACTAAACTCTTTTAATTTAAAAACAATATTATAATTAGATATTTAATCTCATTCAAAAAAATTTATAAATGAAAAAAGGTGAAGAGTTCAAGAATTTTTAAATGATATGTAAATAAATTTAAGAATGAATTTAATAATTTTGAACAAAAAAATCACAAAGTATAAGAATTATGTTGAATTATATATATTAGTATATTTCATTCGAATAAATTTTATTTATTGTGTATCCTTTTGATGAGTAGATTTATTGGATTATACAAGTATGAGTGATATTAAGACAAAGTTTAGAAAACAACTATTATAAAAAAAGGGTTAAATAATAAGTTAATATGAGCTTGAAAACAAAATAAAGTAAATATTTAGTTCTAAACATTTATTTTTTATATATTACTGCAACTCAAATACTATATCTAACCGCTTATTTACCCATGGCACTGATGACGATATCGTGTACTGTTTCTTATAATGCTATAAGCATTAAAACTATCTCAAAAAGCAAGAATAAAATATAAGACTTTATGTATAAATTTCGTCTTTAAAAAAAACTATTTAATATATAATAATATCTTTAAAAAATATAGAAATAAGTAATCTTTACCCATATTTATATTTGATGATAACAATAAAAATATCAATATCAACAGTAATTAAGATAATATGATAATGAAGATATTTGAAGAATCTCAAATAACAGGTATAATAATGAGTATAATAATATTTATATTTATAAATTGTAAATAATATTTATGCCAATATAATTTGCAATGATAAGCAAGGGCAAACAATGATAAAGAATATAAGATTAAAATAATCAAGATAATATTGAATAAAAAAATTATATTGAAGAAATTTATTGCCAATGAAAACAATTTAAAGAAAATAAAACAAAAACTATATGTATTATTCATGAAATGGTATTTTAAATATATACAAAAAAATTAAAAATAAATTTAATATATTCTTACTATATTTTGCATTATATA